CAAGATTGCGTAACGCATGCACCGAGAAGCACTTTCTGAACAGTTTTTAATGGTAACTTGTCTGGCACATTAAAACCACCGCAGTGCGTTAACAACGTACTCTATTGTGTACTTCGATCGAAATGGAGTCTATCAGTTCACTGTATTTCATGAGGTACATTTTATCAATATCTGGGGTCGATTCAAATAAGGCTGCTAGACTGTAAATGTTGCAATATCGATGTGGGCATGTCGACTTTTAATGCAAGTTCCGCGTATGCAGTTTCAGCTACGGATGGACATTTTTCAGGTGACTTTCTCAGGTCAGTATTTAGTCCAAAGGAATTTCCTACAGCGCCTACACTGCTTCGGGTATCTCCTTTACTACTGCGTCTAGCCGTTGTGAGAACTACCTTAGTTCCTTGTCTCAGCTTTTGAACTAAAATGGAAGCATCCCGGCTTATAATACTTTTTTCCTCATCGAGCGTATCCTTACTGTAGACATGATAATGAAACCGAAGTAAGATACACTGAAGCAAAATCAGAGGAACTAAGACAATGGGTGCTAGCTTCTGATTTTTAACTGAAAATCCAGGTCTAATATAATGCTGACAAAAATGGTAACTCCCTGAAACTGGGCGATTTAGTTGTGAAGAAAAAGAACGCACCGAAGTGAACGATTTGAATCGTCGCCTCTGACTTACACACGCCGTTACTTTGGAAACGCGAGCTCTCCACCAATGCCAATCGTAGTCGTTGTCTCACCGTTCCAATGACACACCGATTAGTAGTGGGGTTAGCACAGACGTTCCTGATTTTCCTCGTGACAGGTCACAACTGGTTGCAGGTGAATCCAGACAGGCCTCGGAACGAAGCACAGGCTATCGATCTGATCAGAGCGCTTCTTCGTGTGTAGTCGGTGGGTTGATTTTATTTGGCAGCATCAGTGACCGCGACAACCGAAAGATTAGCGGTAGATCCCATATATTACCGCCTGTATCTGCCTTACGCAGCTAGTGATAAAATCAGTCGTGTAGTTGTTAGAGAGTCCTTATGTTGGGCTTCCAAAAAAGTTCACAATTTGAAGGATGCAAACCGAAAGAAATTTCTCGTGTATACCTCCAAATGGAAAACGGAAAATGTAAACATCGACGGGAGATAGTCGTCTGCAATGCGTGGATTCGATATACGCTGCGCGTTGGAAAAAGCACATCGAGCCTGATCAAATGAGTGTATGCAGGCTGGATTACGATGAAAATTGGAGGCACGGTAGCAGATAATCCAAGAACGCTAGAATTTTCCGACTAGCACATGTCACGCAGTCTAGGTATCATTCATCAGACGCATTCCTTCATTATCATGTCTGTCGCACAGCTTTATCTTTAAGGTGTTGAACAATATTTCGATAGATTTTATCCACACAGCCATGCTGTTAGTACTACTTCGTCACAGCATTTTGGAAGCGGACTGTGGGGGATGGAGCGATATGCTGAAACATCATAATGATGCTGGTGCTGCAGTATAAAGGGGGCTTAAAAATGATTCATTTTCTCCAGACGTAGTTTGGCGGCTACAGTCACGACACAGTTGCAGGGTGTCAGCAACAAAATCACTTACCATGTGAAGTGAAGGCGTTGAGTATACTTCTGCAACTCGCACACAAATAATCTGGATTGCCACCTGTGTTCATACTGCGGGCATACGAGCTGTTGTTGCGTGTGATACAATAGATGGACCGAGTGCGATCTGATTCGTCTACAAAATTAATCTGGTGGGACATTGGGAGCTAAGGTTAGACGAGAGACTGAGCTGCGTTTGTCAGTTTAGTTGATATTTAATGCAGTATAATATTCATAATAAGAAAAAAGGAAGGGAAAATCGAAGAATTTGCCATTTTGTATGCACAAAAATCCTCTGCCCTCCTCAATGTACACATTTTCCCATCTAACTTGAAATTGATGGTTGACGAATATTGGAGTAGGATGAACAGAAAGTACTTCCTGGTTCAACTCGTTTTCTTTGCTTCCCTAGTCGGTCTCCCGGAGGGAAACTGTGAGACACTTGAACTCCGTCGGATACTGCTTGAAGCCTTCGCATGAAACTGAATAATGAATACTGTGTTGGGTGAGGAAACGGAAATTTAATCTGTATAACGCACTGGGAATAAGCAAATGCGCGAAGAATATTCTTTTCGATAATTCCCATCAGGCCTATACAATTATGAAGCAAAATATTGGAGAATAAAGCTCGTAGAGGCTTGTACAGAAAGCAACCAACTCATTAACTGGGCAGTATGGAAACTAAATCAATGGTTTGATCAATCAGACTGTCGCATTAGAAAGCATGTGGTCAAGGCAGGTCATATGTCAAGTTCAAGGCCAAGGCAATCCCAGAGCCTGTAACGATGTGCGCTATTTACACTGCTCTGCTTTCAGAACCTTGATTGTAATGGCATTAGAAATGGTCAACAGATGTTTCGTAAGCTGTTTTGGGTAGATTTTAGTGATAATATAAAGGACTTGAAACGACTGGTTCGTCTGGACTTGATGTGCAGTGACAACCAAGTGTTATAAAACGGAACTGTTGATGGATTTTGAGGTGCCTTTTCGTAGTGACGCAGGACAATGTTCAGCGATCTTTTTGGACAAACACCTGGTCATATATACAAGGTACCTAGCACCACAGATGCAGATGAACTGGTATAAGTCAAACGATTCGGACCGAACCGGGAGTTTATCCTTTAAGCGCTGAAGAATAAAGGGTCTTGTTTCGGCAAGTAGTTTTAGATTGACGGCTGCAAGTGTCTTGGCAACAGCCGTGGAGATTTTTCTATTCAACAATTCGAACGCGACGTCATCTTTAAAGGGAACTGTAAGGAATACATCCTTTTTGGGCATTGTAGCGACACACTTGACAGCCTCAAGCTGTTTGGAGTGTTTTTGTTGAAAAATAAGGGGTATCCATCTTCTTGCAGCGTGTTAAAGATGAGTTTGGTTTCGCTTTCCAGCGTCTCTGGACTGCAGATTGCTCTGGCGCCATGGTATAAGCAACGGACTAAATTCCTCTTGTATCTCAGCGGTACAAAGCTAAGAAGTGGGTATACTGATCTAGCCACGTCGCTTTGTGAAAACCACTCCTTTTGATCGTCCCGTTTTCACGCCGATGCAATAGAACGTCTAAGAACGCCAAGCAGACATCTTGCTCAACTTCACTGGTGAATTTTAATGATGTGTGCACTCTGTTAAACTGATCTAATAGGGTTAGCTAATCGGTGGAAGAGTCACAGACAATAACAGTGTCGTCCATTTAACGGTAGTATAAATCAACTGAAGATATAAGGGCTTCAATTGTCCACGTTCAAGCTTTGAAAGGAAGATGTCGGCCAAAAGGAGACCTAGGGGAGAACCCATTGCGACTCCATCTGTATATAACAGATTTCACTGAACAGAAATTGTACGTTGAAGGTGCAAGGCAGAATCAATCCCTTTAGTCTATTCACCGGAATTCCAACATCAATGTTTCTCTCACTAATGAAATCACAAATGTATGTCACAGTCTCCACCAACGGCATGTTCGTGCAAAGTGATTCCACGTCAAACGAAAGCATTAAGTTATCCTTTACGTTTAGGTTTTCTGTTCGGTTTACAAAATCAAACGTGTCTTTGACCGTATGAATCGACATTTCTTTGCGAACCGGTTCCATCAACTCTGTTATCCACTTTGTGACAGAGTGAAAAGCGGAAGTAGACTTGTCCACTATTGGTCGCATCGGAACGTTTGTTTTACGCACTTTTGGCAAACCATAGAATCGCAGATGTGGGCCGATTGAAGTCAACTTGGAGAACAGTGCATCATCTATGTTCTTCGACTTTCTTAATTCTTTCAAAATCTTAATGATTTTTGCTTCTCTTGCGAAGTGGTCTCTTTGTTGGATTGCGTCTCGTCGGAATGTGTTGGTGTCGCTCAGAATTATTGTCAGTTTAGACGTAAGCAGACTTGTTCATCAATACTCAGCCAGATCTTTTGTCTCTTCGGGAAAGGATTAGTTCTGGCGCTTTTTTGTTAAGATCCTAGATGTTCGCGACTTAAAATTCCGATAGTGATAGGCGAGATGTACTAATGTGGTCTTAAATGTGTCAAGTGCGAGTGAAGATGAAGGTGTTAAATCAACTAACTGGTGCATTAAATTCTCAAATTAGGTCACCAGATGGATTTGCCAGTATTTCGGCGGGGAGAGGCAGAATTTTGGAACGCAGTGCCAATGCTTTTAAATGTGGCTGATTTAGTTGCTGGCTAGAGAGATTATGCACATATATATCGGAATTGGCGGGAACTTTGTTTCAGGTGATCAAGGTTCCAAGCTTATGAGCAACTTGGAGTATCTCCTCTCTTTCATCTTTTCGCATAGTTATTGCAAATAGCAATGGGAATATGATTCAAATGGTTAGAAAAAGTAGCAAACATCCGTCAATACTCCTATCATTCGTTAAGCTGTTATGTGGTGTTTAAAAATATTGTACTGACAGTGTCACAGGGATCACAAATGTAAGTTATTATGGTGCAATTGCTCTGTAATATAGATAAGGTATATATTACGCACAACTAGACTCAGTCAAACACGTTCGGAGAAGCACTGTACCGGAGTTTCATCCTCTCTGGAATCGTTAGCACTCCGAACTCCAGCTGACGTATGTGGGTCCATGAGCCGCAACCCAAATTTTGCCAGTGGAGATAACTGAGCTATGGGGGACGGTAACAACCATCGTGACTAAGTTATTGGATGTGATATACGGCCACTCACTCAGTTAGTGGATAGTGAGGGGCGCCGTATCATATCTAATAAATCAGCCACCTTGGTCACTACCGTCTACTGTAGTTCAGTGATTTTAAGCACTGCCCAACAACAGTCGGATTATGCATGTAGCTTTTTGACTAGATCACAAGTGATGTCCATCATGTAAACAGCTGAACCGAAACCGATTGACATACCTAACGTATCTGCTTACTTTTTTACTCAACAGGCGCAACTAATGTCAAAACGGGCTTTGGAAGGCCATACGAAGAAAGGCATTCAGCACAGTTACTCATTCCGAGCAACACTCGCGGATCCAGGTCATCGATGCAGGTCGGATCCCCTTGGGGAAGTGTGTCCGGCTCTTCCCTCACCAGTCACGCGAGTTTGGAAGCAGCGGCCAGAGCGGCGGCCGCAGCTGCGGTCGCCTCCGTTATGCAACACATGAGTACAAGCTTTGTGATGCATCACGCCGCGTCGTCGAACAATTTGAACGTGCATCCCTATTTTCCAACAAGACCGGCATCTCGAGCTGCCTCCGTCGCCGGGCCACCCGGAAAAGCTGGGATGGAGAGCGGAGACGGCGAGAGTCTACATTCGGCTGCATTCGGACCACGATACACACCAAATGTTTGCAGCACGACCGGAGAGGTATGTAGTATAATACTGATATGACGGGTTAGAATCTGAGGCATCAGTAAAGACTGATTAATTTGAATTAGTAAACCCTAAAAGCATGAACATCACTTGGATGAAAGTAACTGACACATTTTCTCTGTTCAACCGTTGTTGTTAAGCTCAAAATGTGAGCGGCTGTATTTTCATTGTAGTTAAGTAGCACCTAAACTTTAGTAGTTGGTCCAACTGGTCCATGTGGAATATCAACGTGTTCTCAAGAGATCTGTTACTGTATCATTATTTTCTCCTCGTACCCCCTTCAGCTAACTCCAACCTCAAGTCTATCACCTTTGGATCCATCCATCTTAATGACATCCGGTACACACCAGCTGACCGTTCCAGTTATTCAACGTCAATCACCGTTACATCGAGCATTCGGTCCGATGCAACACATAGACTCACAATTTGGTTCTCGTCATGCCATTGGGAATAAGCCGCCAGGACATCACATGCTGTCGAGGATCGAACAAACAGGAGCGCACAAGCCTCAGGTGTACGGTGCCGGATCCCGAGAAGGCGTAACTCAACGCACTGTGCCAAACAGGGTTCAATTACCCCATGGACGTCAAGCCGGATTCATGTACTCACAGCCTGTAACCATATTTCATCCAACTCAACAGGGGTTGCTACCTATCCATACTCAGTACACAGGAATAATGCCAGGTTTTAGTTACTCTTCAAATCAAACTTACCACCAGCCACAACCCCACTACCTCCAACAGCAGACATCTTTCCAACCCTCCTCAACTGGTAATGAAACTACATTACCATCTATATCGAGTCCAAGTCGATCAGATACTCCGACAACTCAGTCAGATGTGACCACACGGCCCCAAAGCACTGACACACAAAGCAGAGACCGGGAACCGTTAAACCATGTCATGTCGCAGAACTTAACACTGAACGGGCCCCGTCCCTCAACACAAGAATACGTGCATAATCCAGCCCCAATAGTCCACGAGGAGAATCTTGTTCACAGGGAGGTTGGTGTTGGCGGTTACCGCTCTGGAGATGTGAACAAGACCCCCAGCAACTTGGAGCATGGGGCTGCGACCCCAAAGTTTGGGCGGAAATTATCCACGAAAAGGTCCCCAAACGAATCAGATGAACAAGATACACTCGAAGTGAGTAAATCGTTTGAAATACTTTCCAAGGATCTGAACAAAGTCAACTAGGTCGACTGCTAAAACAACCTACAGTGATTCAACGTAGACGAAAGAGTTAGGAATCTGTACCACGAGTCTTCCAGTAATAAACACCCTGAAGTTTGATCAGTAGCTTGCAACGTTTTGGTGAAAAACATGGAAGAACTCTGAAGAGATAAAATGGATTGTGACATCTAAGGGGGTCGTAGGTGATAGTGTGTCCCTATGTCGATATTTCCAGGCCGGTCATGCCGGAGTACCCGAAGCTAAACAAATCAGAAATGTCATGTCCTGTGGGTAAATCAGACTGTGTCAGCCTCAGTCCAGGTGGATAGTCTTCATGTCGTTTACTGAGTTTATTATGAAATGGGGGATCGGTCACCCCATGTTCCACGATGGGTCAACCGATTTCTGTGATACCATAGCGGAATACGACGCTTCATGGATGTCAAAGGTGTTAGCTGACGGAAAGTAAAGAAGTAAAACCCGTGAATCAGAAAACAGTAACCTGCAGTACTTACTCGGCTTTGCAGCTTCCGCATTTGACCCTGTCCTTTTGGTCATCAGGCCTTCAAGCAGTTAATAAGCACGTACCACGCTGATTTTAACCCACCGCCTAAATCACTGCCTTGAGACTAAGGCCATCACAGGGGTGTCTAGCTTGACAGGGAGCGCAGCTGGTCCCACTTAGAGACTCGGGCTGGACAGGTCAGTTTGTTATTCATGGCCGCTCTGGGCATTGTTACTGAGTCTGTACCAAGTAAGCGTTATCATTCAGGCACAGGGATCAAATGAAATTCAACCGGTCCATACTAATCAAAACGGTACAAGTACCTCGTGGTTAGAAGAGGTCAGTTGTGACTCGCTCCCCACAACGCACCACACGACGCCTTTTGTCCTTGCTTGGAATATTCTGGTAGAAATTGGTGGTGCTTGGGAGTGGTTGATGACCGACGCTTTGGGCACCGACTATTTGAGTTTCAACAGCAATGTTCGACACAACGTCATCCATAAACCAATGAGTTTAACGTTTCACTCTCATCGCAGGCTCAATCTGTCCGAACCATACAAACAAAGACAAAGTCGGTCGTGTTGGAAAAAGAACAGTAGCAAACGCCTTCGCTTAGGAAACAGTCCCAGTAACGGGAATGGGCGAGGTTTACTTCAAAGTGCATCGTGGTTCCAATCGCTAATACGTGTCGCAATTCAAACACAAAGCGGATGCTCCAGTACTCGACAATGAACAGATCTTGGTTTCTTCCCCCAGACACCGCAGTGATAATGTCGTTTTAACCTCTATCCTGCATTAGAGTATTGCACACCATAAATCAGACGACATTGAAATCAAAGATCTGCCAACTCCATGTACTGCAGAGACTCAGTCGGAAGAATAGATAGACCTAAGCATTTTTGGCAGAAGAATGCTTGTAAACATTTGGAAAATTTAATAAATAAAGCCTGTTTACTTAGAGCAGGATGCATTGTATGTCTGTCTTTCGAAGAGTTGTTGATAAGTCAGGAACAGTGCTGTTGGTTTCGTGGACAGTACCCAGTGGAACGTGTTGCTGTGAACACAATAGTGTCTCACGTCCATTATTGAACCGTGAATTAGGACCGCCAGTCATAACACCGCTGCAGGTGTACACACATGTATGCTGCTCGCTAAAAGTCTATCAAAAGTTGTCACACCTAAAAGTGGGTACATTGTGTTAGTCATGAAAGAGAGTAGTTTTCATGGATTTGTCGACTCTATGACGAGTGAAGCAAAGCGTTTCCGACGAAACCAAACGAAAACTGTCAGTAGTTTGAGTTGAACTGAAACAATGGAAGAGTTGGAGCACCACACACCTCGGCAAAGCATAGCCTAATCATGTTTCACATTGGGTGGTCAGGCCGGGATTGCTGAACAAATAAACCTTACTGTGATATGTGGCCTGGTAGACTTGGCACGGTCAGATATTCGTACAATGTTGGCTACTTCTTATTCTCTTCTAGTTGAAGACTGGTTAGATGAGCGCAATCCACAACTTGCTACTATCAGGTCTTTGGAAATTTGGGCTGCAGCTTGTACTTCAATTCGGACTGAAAAATAGTTGTGCTCATTTGTAAAGGCCCATAAATAGTACGTGGGACCAGTGATGTTTACAACGAACGCTTTTGTTGCTTTAGCTTCCAGTGAACACACCACCCTATAGTGGAGGATTAATGACTCTGGTAGTAATCAGAAATCACTAAGTTCAGAATCAGACTTCACCCGGTACACGGGTTAAAGTCGAGCCTTTTCCGCTAAATCATGTGTTAGGTGAGTGTGTGCTGAAATGTGGTATTGATGAAACGTATACCCTCCTCGATTCTTTCTTATCAGACTGACAAAGTTCACAGTCTAAACCAGTGATCTATCAAAGCGGATGCTTGCCAGCGTTCGTCCCCGAAAATATTTGTTGGACAGTCTGATGCAATAATTTACAGATAGCCGGTAATCGGCTAAGGCATGCACAAAAGTGATGTTGGTGATCGTGTGCAACCGCCCCTTAGGGTTGGGATCCAGAACATCTGGTTCCGAACCTCCTCCAGGTAAATAAAAGGAAAAATATTGATGTTAACAGCTTGACTACCGACGAAATCTGTCTTGCAGGATGTGTCACATTCGCTTCCTTATAACCTCCTTTCCATGAGTTGAATCAGACCGGTGGATTAACTCCTGCTGACCTGGTGGTTTACCATACCTAACTGCAACCTCTCTGTTACCGTCCGAATTAGAACAGCCAATCACCCACTGACGGTAGCTTGTGACAGTCTCAATCAGCAGCTATTGTCCGTCTTTATAACGTACTTGCGGTTGCGCAACCGTGCCATCTGATACTACACATCTGGCTAAGTGAAAATTACCTAATCCTGATTGCCGGCATGGTTTCTTCACCCCAGAAGTCCGCATGTAATACCCGCTTTAGCACTGGTAAAATGTTAACTATCAAATGAGAAATGATACTTTCCACAAGTGTTACCTTTGTTCGTCGTACCATGGACTATGTGACATTCCAATATCTTGAATTAAGTTTGGAACCTATTGAGAATTCATAAGTTTTGAAGCTCTTGAAAGCAAATTGGTTCCGTATAAGTTTGTATTATAGCAACATTCCGCTGTTGAGGTAGAAACTCCTTCAGACCAGGTGAACCATTGCATAAGTGATGTAGTATTTATAACAGGCTAGGGTGTTAATCGATGGAAGGTTATGGGCCAGTTTATAAGTACAGTTACCGTTCGACGGGACAATGTGGTATTCAAATGGCACAACAAAGGTGGAAAGTTCCGGCGTGGTACGCGCTACAGAATACGCAAACGTGAGGTCATTTCGCATTGATGATTATCAGAAGTAGGCGGTCGTCTTCCACCTTGAGTCCATCCACCCGTGTTGCTCAGATTGGGTGGGTAAAGAAAGCCCGTCATCCACTCCCTTGCTCCACCTCATCCATACTCTTTCGGTATTAGTCCCCGTGAATTTCACTGCATCGGCAATTGATCTCGTTTGTTTTCCCTCCGCCTCTTCTAGCGTTCTTAGCATAGTCCCAGACTTACAACCATGTCCCTTCCATAATTTCAACAGAACAAGCAAAACGAATATTTCAGTGGAATAAACTTAATCCAGTGTATTTTGTGTATTCTCAACAGTCGCTTACACACAATGGCCAAACATTTCAAACGCTTAGGAATGACAGGTCAATACGAGAAATCGATTGTTAGTTGTGCTAATGAGGCAGGTGCACCCTACCAAGACAATGCAAGGTTGGTCAAAAACTCAGACTATTTGCAAAGATTATGCTTCAAACGTCGGATGGCAGAAGCCTGAACAAAAAGCGTCAATTTGGGATTTTTCCGTTTGTTAATCGTGTTGAATTCCTCGCGGGGGTTTTAACACATCAGAGAGTCGAGTAAGTACCGGGCAACAGAACTAGCCGGTAATGTTGCACCGCTGAGGGATAGGCTTCGTGGAATGTGTTCCAAACTTCAGGTAGAAAACCTACTCTCTGTACATCTTATCGTAACTACCGTTAAAATGATAAACACAAGAGATGGTAACATCAGATTGAGGCGTGTCTAAATCGGATACGTCAAGCGTCGTTTTGGTTCGGTGAAGCTACCATAGCTGAGCTGCATAATAGCACCTCTTAATGGCGTGCTGCAAGCGATCGCATGAACGTCTATCAGTTTGTGCCGCTTTGTAAGGCAGTGTGATGAATATCTTCATCTTTGTGACTTAGGCCGGTCTTCTTGCGAAACGAAATTTTCTCCATACCTGGAAAAAGCTTGTCCGGATAACCATTTTCACGTTGGGTGGACGCGTAACCTATTAGTTCATCCGCAATCGTTTCTTCTGCCCAGATACCTTGGGTTCCCACAGAATAGACAAGAACCGAAGCCCGCTTGTAGTTCATGGGGCGATAGCTGTTGAAGTTTGGGTATTGCACCATCCAGCTTGGTCTGTGGTAAATCGACTTTAAGAGAGAGCCATCCGATCTTCTCTCTAAAACTACATCTAAGAAGTGGAACATTCCTAATGTTTCATTTTCCATGATGAACTTGATTTCAGGATGACTTCTATTAAGCACTTCGAACATGGGTTCTGCGTGTTGGGCATCGTCCACCACCACAAAGGTGTCGTAAATATATCGCGTGCACAAGTGTGCTTCCTGTATAGACGGATGCAATTTGGTGTTCTCTAGATGGGCACATCCCTCACTAGCACGAATAAATAGCGATTTCTCGTATTGATCTGTCATTCCTAACCGTTTAACATTTTTGCCCTTTGTATGTAAGCGGCTGTTGAGAATACACGAAATACACTGAATCTATATTATTCCGCTGAAAGATTCCTTGGTTTTGTTCTGTTACATGCAGAAGGTCCTTGTGAATAGCTTGGGTGTATCTAAACTGGATTAATCTAACGCATCTGACAAATGAAGCAACACACGAGTGAGCGTTGTCGTTCCTAGTTTTATTTCTCACACACACTGATCTATAACATCGCTCTATACTGTGTTTTGTGTGCACATTCCATTTTAAACTGCCGTTATGCAGTAGTGCATTTAAATCGGTGGAGGATTAAAATGACAATTTACTTATTCGTTGCTCCTTTCAATTTTAATTTTTAACTCCATCTTACGGGCCTTGTCAAGCACACTTTATTTTTCTCGTGATAAATCATGGTTCATTGTTCATTGTCCCAGCCCATTTCGTGCTCTGTGCCTAGTGCGTATACTGTCACCATCGAAGATCTGTATTCAGATTCGTTTCTCGCTCAGCGTGAAATGTGCTTTGTGTTCAACTATCAGTGTTTGCAACCCTCTAGCTTTTCGATTTATGTTTCCATCTGCACAATCCTCGCATGTAATTTTATAGTTGTAACCAGTCTTTTAACTCTCGGAAATGGATCCCTCATACACAACTTTGCTGACGGGGGCGTTCGACTTCGCTGGAAAACCACCCAATTTTTCTTGTTGATTGGTACTAGTCTGATCGCTTCAGAAGTCTCATCTTTCTAACAGAACCTCACTCTCACTCCGTCGAACATACTGAATGCAGGTTTAGGGTGTTCTGCAGCTGACGTTTCAATAATCTCCGCAGATATTCACTGTCAAATGACTTTCTTACTGTTTCCTCAAAGCGGCCTTCTATCCTCTTCCGCTTTACATAAAGTCTGGGTCAAGCGAAAATGAGAGGACGCGATCACAAAATAAACGTTCTACGGATGGTATGAACTGTTATCTTTCATTTGCTCCACAGTGCGGTTACTGACAGTCATCACCTGGTATAACCCATGATCAGCTCCGCACTGCACGATAAATACCAACAAGAAACTTTCATGTTGAATGTCCAGGCTTGAGTATGGGTGTGATCGAATTCACAGCAGTGACTCACATTTTATCTTGAATTAGTATTTTCCTGAGTTGTTACCAGATGTACCAACCGGGGACACCTGTATCACGGGGTACCAAACGTTAGACCACAGATTGAAAAATTTACTCAATACCAGACGCCATTTGCCACTTTAATGTAGTACGCCATCATTGCTATTAGTGGGACTGTAAAACTGACATGAAGTCACTAATGTTTAGCTCAACATGTACTTTAGACCATTCACACAAATGTTGCTTTGCATAGACTTGGTTAACATAAAAGTCGTAGGATTAGGAAATCGGCACATTTAAAGCTAGCGTGCATTTGGTATTGGTATACCAGGTAGATTCAGCCAATCGCCAATATTTCTTAATATCCAGATTACACGCTATGGTATGTTTAGCACCATATTTTATGAACTTAGATTTTCGAGGTTTCCATCTTTTATTTTTAGAGGCGCCTTCATCCTGGTATTTGTTGCCGCGACAACCTCACAACTGCTGAGACGAACAGTTTGTTAACAAACCACGACAACGAACAATCAGTGCAACCGAACGAAGAACCACCAACAACACCGAAGAACATTCCTACCCATTCCTTGCGAAAGTCCCCTGTGGGTGCATCGTTGCATGCTATTGGCAATGACTGCAAACTATCAGACGATGAACAACAACAGCAGCAGCCGTTTAAAACAGAACACCCGATACTCCCCGTGGTCAAATGCGAAAGCCGACAAGTTTCGCATAAAAAACAGCCGAGATTGGGGGTTCATTCTCCTAGACGAGCGAACAAGCCGTACGAAGAAAGGACGTACAACAGTCATGAAGGAGACAGATCACCGCCGACACTCAAGTCCAGTCAGTTAGAATATGCGGTTCAGGCTAGTACTGAATGTAACAATACGAGTACCCACCTCTTATTAGCAACCCTCCCGAACGGCAACGGTTGTCCATAGGTATCAAAGAAGGCGGAGCTGTATTTATTTTCTTAAACCCAGGGTAAACACACTTCTCTGGAAATCGCCGTCACATCCCAAATCTAACTGATGACCTCGATGTGTTGTGTAGGCGAACAAACTTTTCTTGGGCCACGTAGTGTGACTTATATTCTTTCTAAAGCAGTATTTTCGAATTTATTATCTTGTGTGTGAATCCAGTGATATAACACTATGACTATGTAAACATATTCCCCGATGATACCATCCACAAAGCACCCAACATTATTCAATTGTGCGATGTAAAGCGGGGTGATGACGATTGTATACATAGATACACCGGTTCTCAAAGGCTTTCTGTTCAGACGAATTTGTGCATACATTTCCCTTTCGGTGGATTTTGCAATCCTCCATTGTACTCTAAAATCCACAAATCATGTAAACGTTTATACAAATTAGTGTACGCATTCCCTGTTGGATGGGTACAGCATTTCTCAATTCAATGCGTTTGGGCTAGTAAGTACAGCCGTTCGCAAAATCGCTTCTCGGTTCCACACTTTCGGCACAACGAAGCTGCTATGAACGCCCAGGTTTGTGTCTCTGGTTAGGCAGAATATTTGAGCAGCAACCATGTGAAAGGTGACAGCATCGGAAAAGGTGTCCGTTTTTATACAATCTCTACAGTAGACCTCCTATAGGCATGCAGACGAAACAACCCGCGTGTAACTCCTCGTATAACTAACCATCAGGTTATTTTGATACCAAATCACATCCGCCATCAAGAGTATTCAAGAACATTTGTACTCTAGAACTGAGTGTATCTGATGCACATCGGGGTGCATTCAGCAGGGATGGAGTGGTGAGCATGAAATAAGAAATAATATGTCAGATGTACGCAGTAACGACGGTTTGCAGCCGTGCGACCACCGCCAGTCGCACGCGCGCTGATATACCGCAAAAACACTCATCTCTACGCGGATTCGAACCCCCGTCTCAAGGTCACGAGACAATCTCGTTACCTCCAGACTACGGGCCGACGCTGAGTATGAAACCTTAGTTCTATCATTATCCAAAAAAGCTGCGATGGTAGGGTTGAATTTGTGGTTGCCCGACATACTTGCTACTATATCGTACCCCACAATATTGTGTACTTTTTGCATATCGAGTACTGCACGGACGGATCGGACTTTCCAAACGGCGCTTCTGCAACAATGCAGTTAAACAATCGGTTCTAAACTGGACTTGCGATTTGCACGTGGTCACAAGACCAACCACCACACTAAGGTGGTTAATCGCTATTAAGCTTCAGAAGAGGCAACTTTGTAAGATTCAACAGGTCGCATGGTCAACCTGCTAATCGATACATACAATGGGTGATGATATTTTCGACCCTGCCTCATCCCAAAGCGGCACTCCGCTCTTTACCATTTGGCAACCGTGTTTAACTGACAGCGCTTATGTATCTTCGGCGCCTTCACACATAATATCACTGCGCTGACACATTTTCTAGAATACACGCCTACTCATCCGAGGCATAGAAGATCCCACCCGATGTTGCGCATATGATGCGCTCGTGCTGATACATAGAATATACAGTGTTCAAACACTTCGGGAGATTCGTTGTAAAGTTGAGCTTGTCGAAACGTAGAACACTATGAGGATTTCAGTTGCAAGAAGACATTATACTTCCAATTAATGCAGTGAATGATTACACCAACTGAAAACCCATGTTTACGCAAAGGAATGCTCACTTGTGCAACTCCCTAACAGACTGTAGTTCGCATCAAGATGCGTGTGGGCTGGATAGTTCCGAAACAGAGTTCTTCTATTTGGTTTTGGTTTTACTATAATCTATCACAGACGGCATACAGTTCGATGACGTACATGATTACATGATTACGTAACTATGACGGCCAACCAAGATGACCGTAGGGTCTAGTTGTCGGACTGTCTGGTGTTTGATAAGCGAGTCCCGATGCAGAGCATCTTCGAATGATAAGTGTTGTGTTGGGTCCCGTGACCGCTTTCACTCACTAACGGTAGTGATAGCACGAGACGAACCATAATCGGAGTATATCTCTGTCTTAAGAAGCAAATGTGTTTTATAGGAAGCGAAAGATAAACGGGAATGATAAAAGCAATGAAATTCACTCATGTCCACGTCTTTATTGGAACTTAATTAGTGAACCTACGGGGGTCTGCAATGAGTCACGGATTGAGACCCATTGAAATGCGGTTGTTCGCGCATTTGGCCAGCACAGCTTGCATCAACAGTCGATCAATCAAGCTCGATTGATTTGTTGCAACAACATCTCCTTGTGAAAAATGAGTTTCCTGTGGTCAGTGTATTATCCGTTGGAGGGTTCACTTGGAGTGGCTGAACAAAGCGTCTTTTTGGGCTCGCCTACATTCCATTTCCTGGGTGTTATAAAGAATGTGTGCACTGTTTGACTAAATCTTACGGCTTGTCTTTGTCCGGTATTTCTGTAAAACCAAGTCCCATGGTATATGATGTCAGGTTGTCTGGACTGAAGCTTCATCGTTGAGGCTTCATACCTAACCGGTCGAATCCATGTAGTTAGAATCGGTCAGTAATGCTCTACGCCGAAGCCAATAACCAGACGGGTTTTCCAGGGAAATATGCTCGGACCACTACTTTTCCCAATCTACGTACACAACACACGCGACCCAATCAAACATGGACGTCCATTTCTGTTTGCAGATGACGTCAAACTGGTCTACTCATTTCATCCAGACCAACTACAAATGTGCCTGGGAAACATCTGTGGGGACCTGTCCGCACCAAACATAGCTAGTGAAGGTTTGTTAATAAACTTCTCCACATTTAAATCCCAAGGTATCCCAGAAGGCTCTATCAAACTTGCCTAAAACGTGATCCCAACGTCTAATTCTGTTCTGGACTTGGGACTTAGGTACTCCAACTCTTTCAGTTTCTTCCAACATGTTCTGTATCAGGTTGCAAAAGCAAGGCAGATATGCGGATATTTCACCAGAATTTGCTCCCTGCCTGAAGCACTAATTGAATCATTCAAGATAATAATACGACCGACTCTGGAATACTGTACTATCATTCACAGCCCATTGAGGAAGAAAGACAGAACAGCTCTGGAAAATGTCCAACAATCGCTTATCAAGCTGGTCTTGGGGCGCTGCTCAAACCTGAGTTATCATCATCGCTGCCGACAACTCCAACTGGATCGTCTTTGGCTGCGACTCTTAAAAAACAACCTACACTTTTTCAAAATTATTAACAAACGAATTTACGCAGTAAGCACCGCCTTTGAGCTAGGGAATCCTTGGGTTTACACCACACGTAATAGCGGCTACTTGCTACGTACAAGGCTTTTAGGTCTTAAAACTCGATTGAATTTCTTGTTATCGATATACAGCGATCTATGGAACAAACTACCCCTACGGATACGCATGAGTGCAAGTAATGTCATATTTCGAAATTCCATACAGACGTTCCTCATTATATCCAATGTGCTGAAAATCACTGACTCAAAATGAACTCTAGAAACATTGACGGAAGCTGGTATAAGAAACTTAGGAGCAGTTAGTTGCTTACAACCAACTTACCCAATCCATGGCATTACCTACAAAATCAAATCCTATGTCTGTGGAACCTAGTATCCCTCCCATTTTTTATCAACTCCTGAGACCCACAAACTAGAAAATGATGATACAAATTTCGGTATATTTTACATATTAGTTTCTCGGGTCTAGAACCCGAGGAAAAATCCATGATCTGAAATTCCATTATTTAAATTTCCTTTACTATTGTAAAATTACGTCCTATAAACCACAAAGCCTATTCACTATACAAAGGATCGCTCCCGCTTATGGGGCCGTGTACCGCATGTCGGTAAATATACCAATTTATTTATTTATTTATAACGTCTGTATAAAAAGCCCTAAAACGTTTGGTAAACCGGTGATGGCTTGCGGTGTGGCTCTCTCCCTTCCCTGTACTCCACAACCGACGGTTTAGTCTTGGTTTAGACTCATCAGGTAGAGATTGCCGAGCTGGGATTGGAACTCGGCACATAGTGTTTGGCGGCTATCGCCATGATTACTAGTTAATTGAGCTCCGCGAATAGTGGCATACAGTCAGTTGGAGCATGGAAGTGCGGGAGAAACCTATCGAGGGAGTACCCTGCATGGAGACAGGTCCCCAGGGGACAGTTCCATGGATGGTCATATTTGCTTGAACTTTTGGTTACATCTGCATTTGTTATTATTCCCGTGAATGCATGGGCTCCCAAAAGTTCATAAAAAAGGTGTACCTCTGTGGTCAATATTGTCCATGACAAATTCAGTGTACCATCCTACAGTCCAGTGGTCAGCAGAAATGTTGGAACCCATAAGAAAGCGAATTGCTCGACCTGGTGTGCGTGATCGTTTTACATTCGTACAGCACTAGAGGAGAAAATCTTTTCACTAGACTTAACTTCTCTATTCACAAATGTGCCGCTTCTAGAAACTATGGAATACTTATGTAACTATGTGCACGACAATGATATTCATCTAGGTATGTCTTTACCAAGCCTGAAGGAATTACTGTTGAGATGCACTTACCATGTCCAATTCCTTTACAACGACATCTATTACCGGCCGAATGACGGAGTCGCAATGGGATCTCCACTCGGACCCGTGCTGGCGGATATTTCTCTTGCCCAACTAGCGAATGAATCATTGAGTCCACTCATAGATCGTGTTGATCTGTACTATCGCAATATGGATGACATATTTTATGTGACCAATAATGGTTTAAGTGTAGAAGATATAGTCGTGGAGTCCAATAATGCGTACCTGGCAATTAAGTTCACGTAGGAACTTGAACAAGGGGGCCAGCTCTCTATTCTGGATGTACACATGAATAAGCGAACGGATGATTCTCTATTAAGGAGGATCAACAGAAAGAAAAGGTATACCGGCTAATGTACAACCTTCAGTACTTTCGTGCCGCTTAAATACAAGCACAACTTATTGCGTTGTCC